GGCGTGTGGCACCGCTTTCAGTTCAGTACACCCTATCCTAAGTGTGTGTCACTGTTTGGTTTTCTCATTCAAGGCTTGTGGCCCCTTCAGCGACATGACAAGGGAAGGATGCAGGCACCATCCAAGCCCCCAGACATACCAATACTGCATCGAGTGAGAAGTGGGTAAGGCATCCGAATGTGCTACGTATGCCGTTTGGCGGGCCCGGCTCGACTTGGCACGCCCAGCCGAGGTTTTTCACCCAGCCTGTGGACCTGGATGTTCCGCCCAATGTATCCAGCGACTGTCAACTCATCTTGCAAGGCTTTAGCAGCCGTGCAGTGACCCATGCATCTCGGAAAGCACTTGGTGCATTCTAGTTGGTTGATGATGCTCGAAAGAAGCACGGCTACTTCAGATCTTCTTGTGTACAGGTTGGGCGCTGTCAGTATGCCAGTCTTCCCAATAATGTTGGATCCTGATTAGTAAAAGGGGAACCCCCCTCCCCTCTAAACAATGGGGTGCCCTCTGTAATGAACTACCACCGAAACAAATCTGAGTTCCTGGGAGGATTCCTTCTGTAGTTGGATGTAGTAGTCAATCTTCCTTTCGCAGGTTCTTTCTAATTAGATATTCTCAGCAATCCTTGTCCTATGCAGCCTCAGATCTTCAGGTCTACTACCTTGAAAATTTGTTTAGGAACAATCCCTACATAAAGGATTGATCAATGAACTGATGGCTTTGGGAAGCTGTGAGCTTTGAAGAACTAAAGAAACCGATGACTACCAACAATACTCTCAGCAAACCAGCCATTGGCTTAGTAGCATTAAGGTGCTCGTTTTTTTGGTATTATCTCTGACGAAAAAGCTTTGCACAATTGAGATTCCTTACGGCATGTTTTCCCTGAGGATCAGGGGCCTTCCTGGTCTACTACTTTGAACATTTGTTTAGGAAAAATTTTTACATCGAGGGTTGATTTAAGGAATTGAAAGCTTTACGGAAGCTGTGAGTATTGAAGAAGAACTACAGAAACCTAAACCAATACTTATCAATAGTCTCAGCAAGCCAGCCATTGGCTTATTGGTGTTCACAGGTTTCCGAAGGGCTTAACACTATAATCATTTGACCTTTTTTGTCACAATGAATGATATAGCATGATATAGCCATTGCAGATGTGCCAAGCAAAAAAATCGTATGACATGTAAACATGATAACAACACGATGAACAAACGCACTCCCAGGGTGTCTCCTTCTCTGGAAGACAATCATGGGGTCAATCCTATTTGGACAATTTTAGCATTATAGAGGGCCCTATTATTTATCAACATCCAACATTAAAGGTCACAAATCATAAGTTTGGGCAGTCATTTCAATTGAATCCATTCCACTTGTAGCACGGGAGTTTTCTGGATAGACGGTTTCGATTACTTCGATGTTTAATTCCTGGGGGACGTGTTTTTGTTTTTTAATATTGTTTATTTAAAGACCGTCGTTTTCCATGAAGTTGCCCAACAAACAGTATTTTCCCAACGAAGGATCCGCCCGTGCAGCTTGTGTCGGCTCCACCAAAGAGCATCTGAACAGCCTCAATGGCGCTGACATTTGCAACACCAATCGCGAACAAGATTTCAATTTGTTGAACACCTCAAACTTGCAGATCCTTGCGGATTAGTTTCGGGGGGACGACATAATCAGAACATGCAGAACTCCGATTGTTTGGTGTCAGAGGGGAGCAGGGCATTTGAACGCAGTTGGTGGCCTTCCCAGCATTTAAGTACTTGAATGATATATGTTTTTGTGTTGACGGCATTGTCCTCACACGTGTAGGTTGCAGCCTCAATCATGTAGACCCTCGTTCCACTGGCGGTTGCGGTCCGGCGGGGAACACTGCGAGGAGGAGGAGGCGGAGGAGCAGGAGGTGGAGGTGGAGGTGGAGGTGGAAGTGGAGGAGGGCAGCTAACATAAAAACAAATTAACAACATTCACCTCACAGGTATGTCTCAGGACCTGTCCCTCAGACATTGATTTTGTTTTTGTTGTTTTTGCTTTTGGTGATTTAGGCATGGGCCAAAACCGGACAGCAGACAGCAAATGCAAATAGCCATGCTAAGGCAGCTAAGGCCTTCTGAGAACAAGCAAATACTACTATAGTGAGATAGTCAGATAGTAGTCAAAAAGTTAAAAAACGCAGGCTCAGAGCATCCTGTTTTGAATTGGGTAGTGTGGACAAGCCTCCAGCATCAGATCAAAACCGACTGTATCCAGAATTCAACACCTTGAAAAAACCGCGCGGATGCTATCCCACTTCGCCATGCCCCCTCACAATCAGGGTGTTGACACCCCATTCATCCCCATCCCTGTACTATACCATGCGACTTCGCTGTTCTTTTGCCCAGATTCCTGTGGAGCTGACACCAAAGCGCGGCTTGGGATTTGCAGAGGTGGAGTGTCCTTTGTTTAGTCTAGGTCTAGTTTTTTTTGGCGTTCGGTGAAACGACTGACAGAGTGCATTTAACAGTACGGCCGCTGGTTGTATCTTACAGGTCGGGGTTTTAAGTTAAAAGGTTCAACAATAGGATTTCAAACTGTTGGCCATACAACGCGCAAATATATCTGAGGAGAACACCACCTGTGTGACTGCACGCTGGAGGGCTGCAAGTGCTGTGGAGGGTACAAAGGATCTTTGAGGTTTAACTCCTCCAGGTCCTTGACACCTGGAACTATTTGAGCCAGAGAGTTTTTTTTCGTGAATAAAAGCTCCAACAAATTTTTGGGTGTCCGAGTAGGGGCACAGCCAGCAAGTGGGTAGTGATAGTGTGTTGGTTCCCTGCCAGCACAGGTGGATAGAATGCAGTTTTGTGGAAGATTTGCTAGCCCGATTGCATGAACGTGGCCTACATCCACTAAGGGAGATCCCGGCCAAGGGCTACAAGAGCTTGAGCAGTCTTTGCACTCCTGCACGTTGCGATGTGGCCAAGTCAACTGGAGAAGCTGGACCCAATTGCAAATGTCAAGACAAATATGCAGCTCAGCATAGTTCAGCTGATTTTAAGATTGTTTTTGATCAAGGGGTCATTGAAGGAGATCACCCGGTCAGCGGGGCTTGCTACTATAGGGGACCACCAAGCTCTCGACAGATCGCCCAGCAAGCGGCCAATCCGTGCTTTCAACGGTTCCTGATAACGTAGGTTGGCACTGCAGTCGTACAGGACATGTGTTGAACCATGTTGAACCGTCGCCCAGACTCGAAAACGGCGGGTGATCAACAGCGACCAAAGGGTGATTAGTTATTCTTCTTACGGAGATCATTGTTTGATATACATATATTATATGATATGCCAAATTTGAATGCTTTAACAAAAGTGCATCCAGGTTGGCCAAATCCTGTGGAACGGCTCCATTGCCATGGGCAAGTGTGAGCCCGCACCCTGCAAGGGAGACTTGCTCAATGGACTGCCAGGACCTGACTGCAGCTGCAAAGATGGTTACACAGGCACACACCGACCACAGCCCCACACACACAGCCGGCCCTGTCATATATATATATATATATGCATATATATATATGGTACCCCCCCAAAAGAAACACCCTGTCATCAAGTTTCTAGTATGCACATGTATTTACAATGTTTTATGCATATTGTTGTATATAAAAATGTCTTATAAAAAACCAAAGCTCCAAAACTCCAAAACTGCACAGACCTATGTCCCCAGAGTCGCCATGATCAGGTCATGGGGTCAGCAGTTTTGGAACTTTGGAGGCCCCCCAAAGTTCCAAAACTGCACAACTCTGCGGGCATAGGTCTGTGCAGTTTTTAAACTTTGGTGTTCTAGTTTTCTAGGTCATACTGGAGGCGCACCCCAACTACACAGATCTCTTGATTTGTTCTCAGCAAGTCTGAAGATAGAGATCTATGCCAGTCAAGCTATGACAAAGCATTTAGTTTATTTGAATAACAATTGAATTCAATGCTTTAAATGTCGTAAATATTGAAGTGATTTTTGGAACTGGCAGCCCCTTTGAGCTCAATAGTTTAAGTCTAAGTTTAAGTATTTTAACTTTTTAACAGGCGCAACATTTAATATTTTTAAAATAGTAAATTCACTTTGAAAATATCTGCAAAATATTGAAAAATCAATATTTTAGTTTTTCTTTTTACATATTATGCCTACCAAAAAGTATCTAAACCATTTAAAAGACTGAATGAAAATTGTATTTCATGCGTTAAATAGTTTAAATAGTGTACCTATTAAAATAATGCTTGAAATATTAAAAGTATTGAAACAAATGTTTTTCAATGTCTGAAATATTAGATTGATTCCTGGAATTGGCAACCCCTTTGAATTCAATAGGTTAAATATTCTAAATATTCTTTAATAGGCGAAATATTGAAAATATCTAACACCCTAAATTCAAGTTTTTTAATTGAATATGTTTAATAGGCGAAATATTTAAAATATTGAATTCAAGAGGGTTGCCAATTCCAGGAATCAATTTAGTATAAAACATGCCAACAATTTAAAACATAAAATTCAATTTCAATGCACTATTTTGGGCTTTTTTAAATTATTTGCATATTGAAAAGTATCTAACATATTTAAATAATTGAATAGTGAATTAAGTGTTTTACATATTTTAAAGATTTCGCCCATTAAACATTAGCTAAACTATGTTCATTATTGAATCAAAACTGACATGAATGGTTTAAATGTTTGACATATTAAATTGATTACTTGAATTGGCAACCCCTTTGATTTCAATAGTTTTAACAATTTTCAGTATTGTTACTGGGCGAACTATTTAACATTTTTTAAGCATTAAATTCAATTGTAATTCAAAATAATGTGTTTTAAAAGGCAGAACATTTAGAATATTTGTGCAAATATGTAATTCAAGAGGGTTGTCAATTCCAGTAATAATTTTAAATTGAAAAGACCATACAACATTAAGTTAATTTTTAATTCAATATAATTTTTCAATATTTTAAATATTTTGCCAGATACAAAGTATGTTTAATTCAATAATGGTTTAGATGGTTTAAGTATTAAAGTGATTATTGGAATTGGCAACCCCTTTGAAGTCAATATTTAATATATTCCAAATTTTGAAAGGCAAAATATTCAAAATATTTAAACATTAAAGTCAATTTTAATTCAATATTTTGTGTTTTTTGTCGGCAGAATATTTTTCAATACACTCAAGGTGCAAACTCAAACACCCGCTTGAAAGTCTTACATTCATGTGGCGCGTTTGCCATCTTTGCACACATACACCCATGTTTCCAATGCAATCTTCGAAATATTTATCTACAAACTACCCTCAATTAGTGCTTCTGTTACATTTGCACGCATTAATATCAATGTTTCGAATGATTGCATCCAAGACTAAGGTGGGTTTTGGGGGGGGGCTAGCATATATATATATATATCAGAAAGGAGCGCTCTGAGCGGCGCGGTTTTTGCATTGTTTCATTTTGTTTGTATTTTGTTTCTATATTTGTATTGCGTTTCTATTGATTTTTGTGCCACTGAAAGAATACTATTCTGCCTCAACCCCCCCCCCTCCCCCAAAGGCAATTTCCAAAATTCCAATTTTCCAAAATTCCAATTTTCCAAAATTCCAA